AAAGTGCTTTTCTTATCATAGCTAGTAGATTTCTCTGACTATATCTTTTGGTCTTTTCACTGGTTTTCTCTTAATCTTCAGTATAACATTCCTGTTTCTTATAGTACTTCAATTACATTTATTGTTTTTTCTCCTTTTCCTCTCTCTTAACTAAGGCCTCTCCCCAGCACATTATTTTTTTTTTTTTGGTCCTAACTCTCTTCAGCTATTTGTCATGTAAATTCAAATATTTTGCCCATTCATTTGTTTCTCTTAGTCTTCATCCTAATAGTGGCCAACACTGTCTATGCCTAGTCTCTAAAGCTGAAATTTTATCTTAACTCCAGTTTCCTGTTGAATAATTTTCCTAGAAATATCTTGCTATGTCCTTAAAAACAATATGCTTAAAAGCATACTTATCATCTTTCATCACTCTCAACATTCGTATTTATAATAGTGACACCTTCTCTCCAAGCAGGCACCAAACCTTGGAAGCCTGGCAGTCTTGTCATTCTGCCACATCCCAAAGCTTTCAGATATACCATGCATATGTTTACCTGTGTAATGCTTTATCGCTTCCCCTGCCTGGAAAGCCCTGAGAATTACCCTGTCCTTGAGGGTACTGCTTACACCTAACATCATCCTTAAGTCTTTTTGTGACAAATATGGTTTGTCTTAATCTTTCTTCTTGGCCACGGGTGTCCTTCCCCCCCGCCCCAGTTCATAGTTTATTTAACAATAATAATAAATTAAATGTATACAGTGATCCAGTGTTCATATTTATAAGTAATCAGCTTTAATTGCATGATTTATAAGCTGTAGTTGTCCTTTTATTAAACATATTGACATTTAATTTTATTCCTAGTTGTGTTATATTCTTGATATTTCAAAAAGATTAGACTATAAATTTTTTTAAAGTTTATATTTTAAAAGATTAATTAAATTGTAGATTTTTTTGGTAGTATTTGGGATTGACCCAGGGCCCAGGGTTTTCACACTGAGCTATTGCCCCTGTCCTTTTTATTTATTTTTAAATTTTGATACAGGATCTCACTGAGTTTCCCAGGCTGGGCTCAAACCTCTTCAGCCTCCCAGAGTACTGGGACTACAGACATGGGCTACCATGCCTGGCTGATTATTTTCTTTAAAGAAAGAATCTTACATATACTTCTTTCAGAGTTCAGATAGCACCTAGGCAATGTTATACACAAAGCAGAAACAATACTTATAAAGTTGATTAAATAAAACTAGTCATATAGCTTACCAAGAAGAATGAATACAATACAATACAATACAGTACACAAAATTCACTGCCACATGGCCCAAAAAAGGAAAGTCCTCATTGTCCAGATCATATGTTATAATTAACAAAAATAACACATAAGAAATCTAGGGCCAGGGATTTAGCTTAGTGGTTCCACTGCCTGCTTCGCAAGCACAAGGACCTGAGTTCAATTGCCGGTACCAAAAAAAAAGAAAGAAAGAAAGAAATCCAGTGAGTTTTTGTTTGGCAAAGCAGGTTTAATAATTTAAAGTTATAGTAAAAATGGTAGTTTCATCTTATATGGAACTAGAAATCTCATGTATTAGCAACTATCTAAAATAGTATTTCTGGACATTTCTATGTTATGTAGAGATTTTTAACTTTTCTGTCACCTGGGTTCAGTCTTCTGGAATCTAATGAGAGCGCAGAGTGCTGCCTTGTAGACTATAAGGTAGTTTGGGACTAGGCTTCTCACCCTGTGTTCATGCCTAGGAGACAAGCTTTGGCCTCCCATCCTCACCCAGCTCTGTCTCAGCCACCTGCTGGTGTCTTCTCTACCTTGCTGTTGTCTTCTTCACCTTGCTCTACCTCTTTCTGATATTTGCCTGGAGGTACCCAGAATGGTTGCCATGGACAATAGCATATGCAGGAACCTTCAGTTCACTTAAGCCACTGGATAACTGAAAAGCCAGCTGCTACAACATTGTCAGAATGAAATTGCCTTGGACAGCTGCCTTCCTGTGTCTGAAGAGTCCTTTCCCCATTAATTTTGTTGTCCTCTTCTTCTTTTTTCTCCTGTCCTTCTAATATAGTAATTAGAAAGTATCCAACATTTTATGAAATAATACAAAGGAATTGGAATGAGAGAAAACCTAGACTCTGTTCCCATCTTTTTCACTGATTGTGTGATCCCAGCAATTAGTATACCTCTTAGGCTCAGTGTTTAGATTGATAGTAAAAGGAGAATGAAATTACATGATTGTCATTTCCGAAAAACTCAATATAAAAATAAAATATGACATAAAAGATAAAAAAGAGAGAAAAAAGTCATTGTAATCTAGCATGGACAGTGTAGCTAAAAGCATTCCTTGATTTAATATAATTGTCTTAGATGTTTTATGTTTCTTGGCCTATTGGTCTGGTTATTAATCTGTATATATGATAATTAGCTTTCTAAGCGCTTATAAGATAAACTAATGGCTGGCAGAAGAACCACTGAGCTAAATCCCAGCCCTAAAATAAACTAATGGATTTGATGGTGGCAAAATAAAAGGGTGGGGGTGAAGTGAAAGTAAAGAGAATTGAAATGTGTTGTGTACATGTACCAATTCCTTACAATGAATGTAATCATTATGTACTGTGAACATGTAATACGAAAAAATTTTAAATAAAACAAATTATATGCTTGCCATTCCCTTAGTTATCTGTATGGCTACCACCATGTATAATGTGATAATATAAATGTTTTTCTTCTCTTTCCTTTTCTTTTTTAAGATTATATCCCAGCAAGTATCCAATAAACACCTTGAAGAAGGCCGACTCTATCCTCCTTTGAATACTATTAGAGAGGTTTCCCTGAAAATTGCAGAAAAGGTAAAGTCACTCATACTCAAGTCTTATTATTTTTCCTTCCTCCTCTTGCTAAGTAAGAACTTTTAATATTAAAAGTCTGCTTCCTTGAAATATATACTTGCTTCATTTAACTCTCTCTGAAGTCAGGGAAATGAGACATACTGATTCATGGAGCTTAGGAGCTACATTTTATCCTTAGGAATGAAAGAATTGAAAAGGATCATTAAGTTCCTTGTTCTTTTCCTATAATTTAAATAATTCATTAGGGTTTCCTTTTAGTCTGGTCCCTCCCATTTTATTTCACCTTACTTCATTTATATTTTTCCATATCACACTTGTGATAATTGCCAAATTACTGAAGATGTGGCAAAGTGACAATTAGACCTGAAACCACCTGCCAAATCCATGTCTCTATGATTTATGGCATCTTAAAGGACTAGGATCACAGTTGATCGTGCTGCATAGAAGGAAAAGGAGGGCAAAGAACTCAAAAGCTTTTGGAGTGGCAGAGAATCTATTTAGAAGAGTTAACAAGAAGAATCTAAAAGCAGGAAAATTTTCTGTAACTAAACTGAGATAAATTGACTCCTTGAATTATAGGTGTATTAATTTGCTGGGACTTCCATAGTCAAATACCATAGACTGGGTTGCTTAAACTACAGAAATTTATTTTCTTGTATTCTGGAGGCTAGCAGTCCAAGATGGGTTTCTCCTAAGGCCACTGTATTTGGCTTGCAGGAAGCTGCCTTCTTTCTTTCTGTGCATGCGTACTCCTGGTGTCTCCTCTCTCCTCTTCTTACAGGGACACCAGACAAATTGGATTAGGGCTCACCCTCTGGCCTAATTTTAACTTTATGATGTCTTGAAAGGCCATATCTCCACATATGGGAATATTCTGAAGTATTAGTGGTTAGGACTTCAGCATATGCATTAGGGGGATGGGAGGAACCAACATTTAGCCCCTACCAATAGTTATGTGTGTAAAGTGGGATTTTCAACCTCAGCCATGGGGTACTTTGGCTGGATAACTATGGTGGCTGTGCAGCTGTGCTACTGTGCTGTGTTTAGCAGCTCATAGCTTCTGCTCCCTAGATGTCAGTAGCATCTGCACTGTAGTCACAAGCAAGAATGTTGTCAGACATTGCCAAATGTCTCCTGGTGACCAAATTGCTCCTAATTGAAAAATCACTAATTTGAGCTATTAAGCAAGTTTATCTAAACAACACTGTTTAAAAGATTCATATATCATTATTGTTCTTGTTGACTGAAGGTAGCTTTCATCAAGAGCAATGAACTATCACTAAAGTCTAGATAACAATCTGCTTGTTCATCTATTTGTGAGAGTATGCTCATGTTTTTAATAATTTGTACTTAGGGGTTTTTAACTAGTTTGAACTATTAATATGCTGAACAGCAATTAACATTGAAGTTATTTTGACAATTTAAGTGAAAATAAGTGCATGTATGTTAGAGAAGAAAGTAAGGAATATAAAAAGATGTAGATATACCTGGAACAATGGAGTGCATAGACAGGATGTGGGGAATCAGATGTTTGACATTGATAGAAAAAGGGAATACTGATCACTGCTGTCCTGGGCCGGGTGCAGGAAGGGGAGCTGAGCTTCCACAGAGCCTGTGTCAGCACAGGAGATACTGCAGAAAGAAAGAATGGATAAGCAAAGGTACCAGTGGCACAACTGTACAACTCTTAACAAGAAGATGGATGTGACTAAAACTTAAAGTGAGGCTAGATTGAAAGATCTGCAAGTAATTCACATTGTAATAATGGTGAAGCCCAAGATGTGGTGGGAGATTGCCAAGGGAGCAAAGGAGAAGTGATTAGGATTTTAAGAAGAGACTGCAAACTGAGCACAGTGTCAGAAATTAGAGATGGGACACTTTCACCCTCCTGGAGGTAGAATCAAACTGAATATTAGAAAGAAAAAGATTGGCCTCAGAAAGTTATCAGAGACTTTCACAGAGTCAGTTTCTGTACAAGAGATTCTGAAGTTAGGAGAGAATTAGGAAAGTAGTGAAATGTAAGCTACTTTGCCAGAGTGTTTGACATTGACAAGAAAGAGAAAATGAGAGAGATCCTTACTGTACTGTGCCTTAGGAATAGAAAGGAGAGGTGATCATCTACAAAATTTGTGTTAGTAGGGTGTTAGTGTGTTCTATTGCAGAAGCAACATGACCATTGCAAACAGTCACAGGAATCTTGCTGGTGATGGCAGTAATCTAAAAGTGAGCCTATTAATGCTTCCACAATTCTGAGTTCACTTGTTTAATTGTTCACTTAAAATGTTCACTTAAAATGGCTGAATTTCCAGACTTGGTGGCTCATGCCTGTAATCCTATTATTCTGAAGGCTGAGGCAGGAGAGTCACCATGAGTTCGAGGCCAGCTGAACTGTATTGTGTGACCCTGTTGTGAATTTCTTTATGGTCACATTTAAATAGATTTCTACCATTCACACTTTCCTTAGTTGCTTATATCATTGTCTCTGCTTGCTACATGATATATAATGTCATTTTCATTTTATATCTTCTTTGCTTGTATGATTTTATTGTAACACACTGAGTTTTCTTGGAAACAAAGATAAATTATGTTAATTTTTTATTGAGCTTATTGGTACAATCTAGGTATACAGTACAGTTACATTCATTATTGGGATCCTGTACCTTTACATGACAGGTCTTGATTCTCATTTTTTCCCCTTGTCCCTGCCCTCCCTTCACCCCCTCCTCCCCTCTCCATTTACAAACACTATATTTCCATTTTTTCATTTTCTCATATTTTTGTCCCTCTCCCTTATTACCTTTCCCCCACCCTTCCTACTTTCCCTACACCTTTAGCCCTTTACTTCCTATTTCACATTATTAATTATCTCATTAGGATCTTGTGTACTATTGTAGTTTTTCACACCAGAGAAACTATTCGGTATTTCAGTTAAAGAAAGCTCTGTATGAACATTAAAAATAAGGAATTCTAAAATAAAACTAAAAAGGAAAGTAAAAGAGAAAAGGCAATGATTGTAAAATTAAAATAATCCTTAATTCTGGAGATGAAAATGGTCCCTGAACATATTTAAATTGCTTCTTGCTTTTGTAGTGTTATATTATTGTTTTTGTTCCCATTATTTAGAGAATACTTTATTAGTTTCTGTAATCAGACCCACGTAGATATGACCTTACATATTTAATACAGTGTACTACCCCTGTACAAATGGGAAAAAAAAATTAACATTTCTAGACCAATATGGCTGTTAATTTCTGTACAACGCCAACGCAACATAGTAACTTGGGATAACTTTTTCCAAAGCTGACAGCACAAAGTTTCCAAAAATTCAAATTTTATATATATATATTTATATTTATATAAAAAGACCAATAATAGCAGTATGTTATGCATCAATAGCAACAGCTTTTCCAGATTCTGCAGTCATCTGAACAAAATTATAGACATTCAGCACACTACATTAAAAAAACAAAAACAAAAAAACAAAGAAAAGAATAATACCCAGAAAACCGCAAAGTTCTGCTGCTGTTGTGGTACCTGGCGCCAGTTTTTTATTAGCATCTCAATCATCATCTGAAGAGAACATTCTAGAGTAACATCATTAAATATAGCTCTGATAAAGCACAGTCACTACTATGTATGATAAAGCAGGTACAGGATACTACACATTCACAGAGGTATGATACAGTACCGTCCTACATCTATAATACTAGAATCAGTTTTGGTTTGAAATTTACTTTTTCTGCAAAGAAGATTGCTACCCCTGCTTTTTTCTGGGCTCCTGTCACATGGAGAATTTTTTTCCATCCTTTCACTTTCAGTCTGTGGGCTTCTTTTTGTACTAGGTGTGTTTCTTGTATACAACATATTGTTGGATTTTGCTTCTTATTCCATCTTGCTAGTGTATTTCTCTTGATTGGTGAATTGAGGCCATTGACATTTATGGTTATAAGTGATAAGTACTGACTTATTATTGTCCTGTTATTGGCCTTTTATTGACTCTTTTTATTTTTTCACCATCTCCTTTTAGTTTCTTGCCTTGCCTATTTGATTTGCTCTTTTGGGCCTCATGGTGTTGTTGCCTTCATTGTCTTTTTCTAGGATCTTGTTTAGAATTGCTTGTAGTGCTAGTTTGGTATTCATGTAGTTTCTCAGGTGTTCTTTGTCGTGGAAGTGTCTTATTTCCCCCTCCATTTTGAAAGAGAGTTTTGCTGGATACATCAGTCTAGGTTGGAGGTTGTTCTCTTTTAGTACTTGAAATATCTCATTCCAGGCTCTCCTTGCCCAAAGGGTTTGTGTTGAAAAGTCTGCTTTGATTCTGATGGGCTTTCCTTTGTATGTGATTTGTTTCTTTTCTCTTACTGCTTGTAGTATTTTGTTCTTCTGTTGGGTTTCTGGGATCTTGATTATTATGTCTAGGTGTAGATTTTTTTTGATTGTGGCTAGTTGGGGTCCTATATACCTCAGTTATCTGAATGTCAAATTCTTCCCCTCTGTTTGGGAAGTTTTCTGTCATTAATTCTGTGAACAGCTTTTTTAAATCATTTGTATTTTCTCCTGCTATTTCATGGATTCCTATCAGTCTTATGTTATCTTCTTTGCATCATCTAGGAGTTGTTGGATCGATTTCTCATGATCCCCTACTGTTTTTAAGAGACCTCTCTTTTCAGGGTCACTGACTGCAATCTTATCTTCTATATCTGAGATTTTATCTTCACATTCTTTTATTCTCTTGTGTACACTTTAAATGGAGTGTTTAATCTGGATATCTGTTTGAATCTGTTTTATGGATTCCATTTCTTTCCTATGTTGGGCGTTTATTGTTTCCATTTCTTTCTTATGCTGGGCCTTCATGGCTTCTATCATGGTCCTGAGCTCATCTATTTTTTTTTGTCAGTTTCTGTTCTAGAGTTTTGAATCATGACTTTCATTTTACTCTCCATCTCTATGGTTATCTGGGAAATTATTTCTGTTTTGAATTTTTCTAGAGCCTGATTGATCTGTTTTGTTACTTCCTGTGCTTTGAGTTCAGGGTGTCCTGGTGGTTCACTGTCGGCCTTTTCATCCTCGTTTGGCCTACTGTTTGCCATTGGTGAACTGGAAGTCTGTCTTTGTGTCTTGCTTAAGTGTTTTCTCATTTTTATTTTTGTTGTTGGGCTATATTCCTGATATAGTTGCACCCTAGCTTCTGGGTCTGTAACAACCCACAGACATTCTCGTCTTCATAACATCAGAGAAAACAGCTCATCAAATGAACCACAATCCTTTATCCCAACTGATACAATCAACAACACAATATGATCAAGCACAACTTGGAAACTGACCACCTGTGGTAGTCACTAATCTATCACCCTTAAACCATTTGAATCTTAATTGAAATCAAGAAGCAATCCAAAACATGTCTACAGTAAACAAACTTTTCAATATAGTATATTTACCAATTAGGATGGGGACTCAGACAGAACTAGGATGCAAGTCCCCCTGATCTCAGTTAGCTGATGGCAGAACCCCATGACACAGACTGACCTTGGGCTTCAAGGCCCAGATTTAGTTCCCCAACCTTCTGAACAGCTGAACTCCACACCATTCTACTACAGGTTTCCCACGCCTTTTCTTTAAAGATGTTCAAAGTTGGGAACTCAGAAAAAAATACCCTTTATGACCACATCTGCCTCTGCAGAGTGGGTCCAAAGACTGGCACAATCAGGAGGTCTGAGAGTGTGGGGCAGGGTGGCATTGTGGTGGTAGTTAGGGGAGTTGTGGGAGCTACCTTCCTGGCACTGGAGTGATGGCGGCTCTGGGTGGGAGAGAGCATGGTATCCTTCCTGTGGTGGATCAGGGCCCAGGCTACCTTCCTGGCTCTGCAGTGATGGCAGCTCTGGGCAGAAGAGGATTATGTTAATTTTTGACATGGATAAAATCTTCTATTGATGGGCCAGAGATTTAGCTCAGTGGTTCGGTGGCCTGCCTTGCGAGTGCAAGGACCCAAGTTCAATCCCCAGTACCAAAAAAAAAAAAATCTTCTATTGACATGTGCTCCCTAGACACTCTATTCATTAAAACAATTAATATTATTTTCTTATTTCTAGATTGTGAATGATGCATACCGAGAAAAGACAGCCACAGTTTACCCTGAACCACAAAACAAAGAAGCATTTGTCTGCTCTCAGATGTATAGCACGGAATATGACCAGATTCTCCCTGATTGTTACTCTTGGCCTGAAGAGATCCAGAATATACAGACCAAAGTTGACAAATAGCAAAATAGATGAAATTTTAAACTTCTGTAGTGATATCTTGAAGAGTTTCATAGTTTTTAAAAGTTGGAATCTTTGATCATAATATGCTTAGACCAAGATAGTTTTTAACAATCTAAAAATTTATGCAAGATTAGTATAAATTAGGATAAACTTTATACTAGATAATTTTGCTTCATTTACCTTTTGGTTACCTTATGGTTTCTATCTTAGTTATTTTGCCCAAATGCTCTTTAAATGCTGTTACACCTACTACTGAGAAATTAATCTTTTTATATAAGAAACTAATGGGAAGACCAAAATTATTAATAAATTAGTATGATCAACATTAAAACTCAAAATTCTTTTACTGACCATTTTGTTAAAATTCACTTTTTTTAAAGGTAGAAATGAATTTAGGCATATGTGAACTTTTTCTAAACAGAACGGTACTTTGTTGCCTAGAGAAAAATAACTTCTGTTGTATTTTTATTGCAGTCTTAGGTTATATTTATTCTTTTTGTGTAACTGAATTCTAACATTTCTAAGAAAGATTACTGCTGTTTACTACCTTGAGTCACCTTAAATTTTAGTGTTCTTTTGCCATTGTATCTTATAAAGTAGAGCTCTTGATACCTTCATCCTCAATCAGAAGTCCTTACTAAAAGTACCTTTATTTTCCCCTGATCAAATGCTACTCCCTATGTTACCATTCTGTTGCTGAGGCCCATGTAGGCTGTGGCCCCTATCCAGAGGTGGGTATCTCAGGTCAGCACAACCTGGGCTGTAAGAAGGGCTAAAAGGAGAATCAAGATCCTAGGGAAGGAACTGCCCTACAAAGATCTCAGGAAGCACAGAATAGGCAATGGTTTCCAGACAAGCTGGCTATCTGTTTGAGTGACCTGCCCTGATGCCCCTTTGATTGACTCGGATACGTGAGAGCTCACCGTGTTACAGTAAGTTTACTCACTTTTGGCAACTTTTAGAAAAAGTTTTGTATCTGTCCCCAATATCAGAAATTATCTGTCATTACTAAAATATTTTAGTTACCAAGGCCATTCCATAAGAATGAACAATTATACCCCAAATTGTATTTACTTTATATATTAATGAATTCAATATTTTTTTGAGACAGAATCTCATTATGTATTCCAGGCTGGCCTTGGACTCATATGTAGCCCAGGCAATCCTCCTGATTCAGCCTCCTGAGTGCTGGCATTGCAAGTATGCACCACCACACCCAGCACAACAATTTTAAATTCTTAAGTGCAGGTGCAGTAACATTTGCTATTCATTTGAAAATTTATTTGTAGAATTTTATTTTCAAAACAGTGCTTTAAAGAGTATGAGCTTGTTCAATATAAACTTCTGTGAAATGATTTTACTGAAAGCTGAAGGTTATACATTTTGTTTCCAATTTGGGTAAAAGGGGTTGGGGATTTTCTAAAGGTGACATTTACTCAAAAGTTTCCTCAATGGAGTTATTTGGAAAATATTCAGAATGCTTATCCATTTGTTGTTTGTTTTCATGTTGTCATATAAATAAATGTATTTACCTATGCAAAATATTTATTAAAGCATAGAAAAAAGAGAATGAATAAAATCTCACAATAACTTATTTTTCTTAAAATATGGTTACAATTTAATAATGGAGGATCTTGAGTTCATATGAATTTTAAAGAGTTCTAATAGTTGCTAATTTCAGTATGAATTTCATTGATTATATACATAGTAGTCATATGGTAGATACTATGATGAGTATCTTGTTCTTGAAGATAATGAAACAAGCTTTAGATATTACTTACCTGGTGTCATTTGCTCTACAAACATTATTTAATGTAATCCCCAGTTTCCTTATGAAATTGATGTTTTAAATAACTTGCCAAGCTTGTAGAACTAATAAGTGAAGGAGGAGGCTTTAAATCCAAATTTATCTTTTCTAATAGTCTGGTTTCCTTTGATGAGGCTACAGTATAGAATAGCACTTTTCCATTCATAGTTTTAAATTTTCTAGTAGATTCATAAAAAAGAAATGTGTGATTTAACATGAAATTATTGAGACTAGATTTTTTTTTTTTTGTTCTTGTTAGGTCTTCAAATTCCAGTTATATTTTTACACTTATATTTCAATTCAGTTCAGACAAACCCTGTATTGAACTGTGCAGATGTAAAAGAGACATGTATATGCGATAGCTATAACTTTGTCTATAAAAGAAGTGAAGTTTGCCAGGCATCGTGGCACATGCCTGTAATCCCACCACTCAGGAGGCTGAGGTGGGAGGATTGCTATGAGATCGAGGCCAGCCTGAACTATATAGCAAGACCCTGTCTCAAAAATCCAAAAGAAAAAGCGGAGTGCAATTTAAGTCTATGAGAAGTATTACTCCAAACTACTTTGATAATGCTTTAATAGATAAAAAATATAGCTTTATCAGTTTCTCTTCATAAGCCAGTCAAGCGAATTAGGACGGGAGCATAGACTGAGGATGAGAAAATGTATTTAACACTTTTTATAGAATGTGCATCTACAGAAAGGGAATAAATGTTAAAGTAGTAAAATAAAATAAAGCAGGAACTAGCAGAGAGAGAGAGACAGATTGAGATTCAGATTTCAGGCATAATAAATGAAGAACTGAAGACAAGAAAATTATAGAACTATTTCCTTTATAAACAGATTCAAAAATGTTGACCTACCAGCCAACCAAATCCATTAATGGTATTAAGAAAACCACTATTGTTACTGTTTAAGATAATTTAACAGGAGGCCTCTATAGAGAAAACTATGAGAAAGAAAAAGATACAAGTCGGTTGTGGCACAAACCTGTAATTTCAGCACTCTGGGAGGCTGAGCCAGGTTGATAGTGAGTTCAAGCCCACCTGGGCAACGCAGTGACTGAGGCCCTGTCTCAAATAAAAAGCTAAAGAATGGGTTGAGGAAATAGCTTAGTGAAAAGGCCCTGGGCTCAGACCCAGGACTTCCAAAAATAAGAGGTATAAGAGAGTTGTTACTATCATCTTTACAGATTATATCTGCATATGCAACCATCAGCATTACCGACTATTAAGAATTACTAAGAAAATTCAACTTTGCCATACACAAACCTGTCTTACAAACCACCAGTAGCATTTTTCTCTATCTGCAGAGATCAACTAGATTTAGATATTGTAGACAAAAAAGAGATTGTAATTTCTAATAACAAAGAAACAAAATATTTGTGAAAAAATTAGGTTTTATTAAAATATATAAAAGATGGGAAAAATAGACTGTGCCTTGTTGGGATTGCCTTAATATAAAATTGTTATTTCTCTACAGAAATAATCCACAAATTCAGCAAAATTTTATGTAGTTTAAGCTAGGCTGATTGCTGCTATAATCCTCAAATGTCAAGACTCATACCACAAAAGTATCATACTTAACATCATTGTCTAATGCACTCATTTGGGAAAGAGGGCCCTTCCATTCTGTAATTCCACCATTTTTATTATGTGGGCTCGAAAGTTTACAGAAGAACAAAACATGGAGGGTTAATTCAGGAGGTTTTGTTGATCAGTCATTTCAGCCTATATTTTACTATCTAAGAACCATTCATATGGCCCCGATGCTATAATAAGAGAAACTGAGATATAGTGTATTTTTATAACTATAAAAATACAAAGTAAGATAGATTTAATGAACACATAGCTATATCTCTGCCATAAAGCCATTTTTAGTTGAAGTTTCTAAAAAAGCACATTTATACTAAATACATCCAGAAAACCAGAAGCCCGCCCCTGTAATACATATAAAACATGCTTTTCTCTTTTAAATATAAGGAACTAACTAAAGGTGAAATCCAGCCCTGATCTAGATTAATTCCTAATTCTCAATCCCTCACCCTACCTCCTGGAGAAATAACATGATATGTCCCTACTCAGAAAAATATTGACCCCCATCTCTTAGAGTGCTTTAAAATATTCTGCTCAGTGTACAACCAAAAAGCAAAAGTATAGAAAAAAGCAGAAAAATGTAACCCCTAATGAGAAGAAAAAAATAATCAATAGAAGTAGGTCCACAGGCCACCCAGATGCATTATCACACGTGGGTTTGAAAATAACTGTTCTAATTGTATTAATGAAATTGGAGGAAGCAACAGAATTGAAGAAAAGATGAATTTCATCACAGAAATAGAATATCTAAATAATTAAGTATATATTTTTGCCAGGGATTTAGCTTAGTGGTTCTGTCACCTGCCTCACAAGCACAAAGACCTGAATTTGATCCCCAGTAACTCCCCCAAAAAATTAGGGCCTCCTGTCTAAAGAGGTGGTTACTGCCTTCCTTGAAGATCCTATAGTGTCTTCACCTGACTTAATGCTTAGCTTGCTAAGGGAAGCTAATTTACCTCATACTTCTTCCAAATTACTTTTCATAATCTCTATGTACAAAAAATCACACTGCAGCAAGTAGAAGGGCAGGGGTGGATACAGTGAAAAAGACAGACCTAGAAGAAGACTCAGACAAAAATAATTCTAGACTTTACTCATTTATATTCTGCAAAACCTGAGGAACATGTATGGGATTCTGAGAATGTCATACTAAGGAAGGAGACATTGATTTTGGATTGGGCAGAATCAACAAGAGTGTACTTGCCACAGATTCTGGATTTAGTGGGCAGCCTTGAGCAACTTGGCAGTGATTACATTGGTTCATTCAGGTTGTTGAGTGAAACTTGGGCTTAATAAAGGCCTACATGAAATGAGACTGAGAATGGAAACATTCCTAGAAAGAATATAAAGGATGGGCCGGGGATTTAGCTCGGTGGTTCCGCTGCCTGCCTTGCAAGAACAAGGACCTGAGTTCAATCCCTGATACCAAAAAAAAAAAAAAAAAAAAAAGAAAGAAAAAAAAGAAAAAGAAACAATAGAAAGGAAAATGGCTTATAAATGGAGCGATATGAGTGGATTTTTGGTGTACAACCTGACTGTCCCCATCTTAAGGATCCCATAACTAAGTGTCTTGAGAGGACTAACCAGTGACTCCCTTTCCTATTTCTAAGGCCTTCAGAGATAACAATAGTCAGGGAAATCCCAGAGCCCATGAAAAGCATTTTAAAGACTTCTCTTTATGCTGGGAAGGCTTGTAAGAAATGCTATGCTCTATATTTCAGTGGAAACATCAGAATCTTGGGATTGGCAAGGACTTAATAGCAATTTTTAGCATTTATTAAATGTACACAAGATTGAATTGTTTGGCCCACAGAAATTTTCAGTGATGAGTTAAAGGGCCCCTTGGCCTGAAATGATGTTCAAAAACATAACAAGCAGGCACTATAGGTGCTGACCAAGAAAAAATAGATACCATTGTATAAAGCTTACATAGCAACACCAGTACATACCAGGTCAATGCCAGCCCAATTCAGGACCAAATATATCTCTAACCCATGTAGACCCCTACTTGATGTGTATGCCAGCAGGAAAGCTTAACTGGAGCTACCAAATTGCCAGAGATAGATATGAGTGAAAAACCCCTAAGATGAAGAACTCTGTGATAATGTGTTTCTAAAAATCTTCCCTGGAGGCTTTCATGGACTAAAAAAACAAAACATATTAGAAAGGAAGCAATTAGGCCTTTTGGAGGACACTTAGGAACTGCTTTGAATACATTTCTGGGGTCTCTGAAACCACCGATATATGGGACATACGCAACTGAACCCATCCTGTAGTAGTTTTCCCAATACAGTTTCAATTGATCCTTTTCAAAATAACTTTTTTAAATTGATGGATAACATTGTCAATGTTTATCATGTAAGAATTGATATCTTCTATGGCAGTATCCCCACAGTGGGTCTCTGATCCATAAATAAAGGATTATTCCATTAAGTGATACCCAGAAATTTACAGAGATAAATCCCAACCTTAAAAGAAGCAGAGATAGGATTCTGATCACATCTCAATGATTTTTGGCATATGCAGGAGACAGATGGGTCTCAATGATAGCACATATTCATCAGATGTGATTTCCGTTGCAGCTGCTGGCAGACAAGTTCTCTTGGAGCAAATCAGTATGGAGCTATTAATTTGGTCCACGCTTTTGTTTTTCCTTTATTCCAGAAAGTAGAGACCACCAGAAACAGTTTGCTATATTTCAATAAACAAGGCAAATCATCTATTTTCAGCATTATATGAACTCTGGGTTAGAAAATCGTTCTTGCTACTGGACCTTAACCATCTCATCACTGTACTGTGCACTAGCTGGTCCAACACACTAATGATGCCCTGAAGATAGGATCTAGGACTCAGAAGTCATTGGGTTTCCTGAATGCCTGGTGAGAAACATGCCAGAAGGTACACAATAAACACTATGCAAACACAGGAGCCTGCCACCCGAGCCGTTTTGAGAAGGTCCAGTGTTGGGCATGGTGGCATGTCCCCTTCATACTGAAGAACAAATTGTGTACTTCATTCCTCCTGTTCCTAAGGACAGCACTTTGTGTTTGGTGGACTCCAAATTTTGTATGTACACTACTCAAACCCATTTGTGGGTTCATACAAACATGTTTTGCTTTGACCAAACTTGAAAAAGGTCTCTGGCTGCAGTGATGTAAGTTCTACCATGTGGAAGATCCAAGGGGCTGAGTTTCTGTGCTAAATCAGGATTCTGTGTAAAGCCTTGCCCTCTTCAGAAAATAACTGTTCTTTTGATACACTACTAGGCTACTTGAGTTTGAAAAAAGCCAAATAATCTTGTTCAAAAGACTTCAGACAGACACCCTGAGAACCTTTTCAAGTTCTGTGATGGATGGCATGTGAACCATCAAGAAATTCTGATTTTTCTATTTAATGTACGGATGTTTAGAGGTCCATCTTCATATTTGCCAACTGAGTCACGCCTTAATTATATATCCTCAGCTCTTAGCCTTGGCTTAAAGTTGTGCCTTGATAGGAAACTTACGTTTCAAGGCCTCATAGGAACAGGGGTCTCTGACTAAGCAGGGTCTACCAGTCCATTATGTCTCCTCCCTTGCCCAAGGACAAATGTTTGCCTCCTAGAATGACAGTAAAACCAGAAGGTACTCTTTCATCAAAGCATATGCGCTCCACTGGCATCAAGCAGAATTGTTGTGGAGTACAGGACATTCCTCTATGTCACTCAAGCCCATGACCTAATTTTAGCATCCTGAAAGGACCAGGCCATCAGTGAGGTACCTTGGCTCACTGTGAGAATGCACTGCTCCACAGGGAAGGGCAGCAGCTGTAAGGGGAGGCCATGGGAAAGCTGTAGGGGCTACTCACTTCAGCACTTGGGAGATTCCCAGGTCTTAAAGAATAGACTCTTAGTAATGGAAAGATTGTCAAGAGCTACTTAAATTGGGGCTTTAATCATTAAAATCAACTCTCATTTTGAAAAAGACTGGTGGGACATAGAATTTTCATAAGAGATGGCTTACCAATTTTTTTTCCTTCAATGAGGTCATTGTGTAGCTCTCCTCACTGGTCCCGTCCATCTTCTTTCCTCTATATAGTACTGCATAATGGCATGTGGGCAGTTTGGAAAAACACCGGGGGAGTATTGTGTACAGAACAAACTATTTTTTGTGCATAAGAATTGAACTAAGAATACTGTTAACATTATCGCTAATATCTTTGACCAACTGATATAATCTGTTGAGGAAAAATGCACAGCATGGGGACGTTTGATACCTTTACTCTTGGGACTTAATTACTAAGATTTCTCTATTATTGCTAGTATCTAGTTTTGCTCAGATACACTTCATATAGGGTGTCAAATGCAGTACACACAGGCCTTTCCTTCATTCTCATCTGTTCTTTCATGTAGAATTAACTTCCAGCAATGCAAATTGGTATGTCACCTATGTGCTGACATGAAAGGGAGAAATATTCATAGTTACAAATTCACAACTGCAGTTTGATTTCTAAAATATTAACTTTGAGGCTTAAATCAGCTTTACTAGTTAAATGGGTTTTTATTTACAATGAAATCATTTTCAAAAGACAATACAGGAACCTACAGGTAACATCACAATTAAACTGTTACAGTTACAAGACCTATTTGTTTCATCACCAGGAGAAAATTCTGGAGCTAGGGTTCTCACTGAAGATGCTACATAGCCACTGGCCTTTTTATTTTGGTCTTAATAAATAACACTGACTTAGGGAAATTATAAGAACAGGCCTCAGTACCTTCCTAGGAGTCTGCATTTTTGCTTTCAATACCAAATAATATCTGAAAAACATGCTCACTTTTGTGCTTTTTGAGAAATTCTAAGAATTGACCCAGATTCATGTGATAATCATTCCTTAATCCATAGTCACCATGGGCCTCAAGGAGTAATTCTTCAAAAGAATGAAAAAGGCGCAGGTCCTTGCCATTTCCTTCCGTCTCCATGCTCTCTGTGTGCTTACAGGAAATGTGCTTCCAGTTAGGGTACCGAATTGTGTGCCAGAACTCCTCACAGTGCTCCTTGAAACCTTCCACACAGATTATACCAGGTTTTCCTGTCATGCAAAATCCAGTTACATCTAATCTTTTCCCCACTTCCAAAATCTTTTTCCTTAGGTCCTGCTGATAGATATGGTGACTGTAGATCCACATTCGGAGGAATGTGTTCTTGACTGGCTTTGCTTGGGCAGATGGTTCATGCTCGAGCTTTCTGTTTAAGAAATACGTTGCACTATTGTCCTGGAGCCACTGAATTGCTGCACATACACAGAGCTCACCTGGATCAAAAGTCCCTATATAAGAAGTGAGACTGTTGTTGAGAAGTAGCTGCTGTTGTCTATCAAGCTCAGGTGACCGGGCAAATAGCTGCAGTGCTACGTAGGGGTAGCTGTGAGGCATGGTTACTTGTAAGTCAATTGTCACCTTAAAATTGAAATCAAATAGAGTTAAATATCATAAAACCACACAAGCTAGTTTATCAGTTGCAACTGCATGACTGATAAAGAGGATCATTGCTATTGCCAGTTATCTACCAAGTACTTTATATACAAATTTTTTTACATTTAGACATTCATTCTAATATTTATTGAGCTATACATGCTAGGTGCCCTGTGCTGGTATAAAAAAGAGAAGAGTCAGACACTACTGCCTTCATGAAGTCTAGAGCCTAGCGAAGGAGACACACATTAAGACCGCCCCCCCAAAAAAAAATCCCATATAGGAAGTATTTAATTTGTGAGAAGCATTACCACAAGAAAGTTCTGGGTTCCAGTGAAGTGTGTAACAATCAGGACAGAATACAGGCTAGGGAGGCAAGAAGCTTCCTTAGCATAACAACTGAAGGATGATTAGGAAATAGGTAAAACAGCTCTCAAATGACCAGTCCAATGTTACTCTATGCTACTTCTGTTGGAGATAAATGAATCAGATGAGGGGAAATAAATTCATTTTTAACATTCAGCTTTTGTGTATTTGCTTTTTGCATATGGTGCTATTAAAACAAATCCAAAAACATTCCCTTTTAAAAAGCCTGTTTGGTTACAAATAATATTTAGACTTGTGAAAATCACAGTATCTGCAATGGTAATTTGTACTACAATTGGATTTCTAAGAAATTGGATGAGTGAACAGAATAATGGGAGTGTAAGACTAAGATTTTTTTCAATAAAAGCACTGGACATATTTGTTTAAAAGGTGTGCATATTCATATAAAATTCATGATGTTTACTGAAAACGATACGTTGAGCATCCCGTGTTGCATGTTTTGCCTCCAAACAAGTAAAGGAATAGGCACCTGGAATATGCTTTGTTTCCTTAAGCAGGAAGCCCACAAAGCAGGTACTTCAGTTAAAAACTGGGCACCCAGCAACACCTGAAACAAATGAAGACACCCACCTTGGGCTCCTCAATTTGAAGTGTAATGACAAATTCAATATTTGGTGGTAGCTCCTCCCTTGTACCTTCCAAATATCTCTTTATATTCCTCGGGGCATTTACATCTTCAAGTTTTACTTCTTCTTGGTTAGGAAACATAGAAAACAGCATTTCCATCTCCAGCAGCTGAAGCTGAAGGCTTTCGTTCACTGAAGCAGACATGTTGTCTCAAAACCGACTCGCCTGGAAACCTGGAAAGGCCCAGGGGTTCTGGGCTTAAAAATGTCAGCTTGTGTCCAGGGAAATTTCCAGAAGATTCCTTTCCCAGGATGCAGTCCCACAGGAAGCACTGCACAGAGAGCTAGGGCACAGACCCAGACATTTACATACTATCGGTTTAATCTTTCGATGCCCAAATTTAAAATGAGCAACAGCCCCTAAAATATCCATTAACGTCCAGATTCCCCCACCTGCCTCCCAATCCAGAGTTAGGAATTGTTTCTTGCAACAGGTGTTCTGAATTATACCCTTGCAGATGATTGCAAATGACACCTGCAGAAACGCTGCAAGCCAGCGTTGGAGAAAGGCAGGGCCCCTAATCCCACCGGGTTTAAGGCTTACGCGGAGCTGGACGCCGCGGAGAATGAGGGGGCCGCAGGGCAGAGGCTCTGGATCTCCCAGGCCCGGATTGCTCGAGCCGCCACCCCCACTTCCAGCCGCTACCCGTGGGTCCCTACACCTCGCGGGCAATTCTCGGAGAGCGTCCCCTAAGATCCACCCTCGCCAGGGGCGGTGTCTCGGGAGATCTGGACGGTTTGGATTCCCAGGTGCCGGGGCGGGGGTGTCTGAAAGGTAAAGACAAAAAATGACAGCGCGGGGGAGGGGTTGCTCGAGAAGGCTTTCCGGAGAGTCACAGATGTAAGAAATGGCCGCGACAATCCGGAGAGGGATACAGGAGCCCAGTAGCACTTACTGTGGCTGAGGCCACCGGCTCGCTACTTCTCACCCTGATCCTAACCAAAACCAACCAAGAACCCCAGCTACCCGGAAACGCAAGGTTGGCCTCCCACCCAAACCCACATCTGGGAAGTGGAGACTGCCATCCCAGTGCTCTAACTCAGGTTCAAAGCTCGGGCCCTCGCGGTGCCTCACCCTTCCTGGACATTCAATTGAAACCCCCTGAGCCCGCGCAGAGGGTAAACCGCAGATCCTGCAGGCTCCAGCAGCTCAAGAGCCGCGGCGCGGCCGGGGCGGGGCCCGCAGGGCTCCTCTGCCTGGATTGGTCGGGGGGCGGGGCAACGTCCCGGAAGTCACGCAAGGCCACGTCTGCGGGTCCCAGAGCCGTAGGGTCTTGTGGTCCTGGCCGCAGCTGGGGAGCCTAGGCCCGGAGGAGGAGAGAGTCTTCAGGTAGAGGTGAGGCGCCCGACAGGAGGAGGCGAGAAGGGGCGTTCCGCACGGCTGGGGCTCCGTGGAAGCCGGGCTGGCAGGATTTCGGCCCGCCGGACCGATCTGCGGTCAGGCTAAGCGACTGACCCTCGGCCCGCGCGCGACATGCCTCCCACTTTACGCCCAGGCGCGGGCGGTTCCGAGCGGGACGTAGGGGCTGAGTCCGCCGGGGTCCGCACCCTGCGGCCTCGCGGTGATTCCCGAGCTTGGAGGAGAGCGGAACCGAGGAGGGTGGTTGCAAGGAGAAAAAGGGGCTGCCGTTAACTTCTTTTCGAAGGAACACTGTTAGGAGTTGGAAAATACACTTTTAATAAAAGTTTTCGCGTTCCCATTGCAGGGTGGAAGCAGGTTATTTTGCGTTTTTTAGTTTTTGAAAACTTCCTGGATTTAGCGGGACTACTTCACGTCCTAATGAATAACGATGATGCATTCCTGACTGGTCAGTTTTTAGAAATCTTTATTCATCCTTGTGAAAGAGACTGGTTCACTTCTGCCCAAAGTAAGTTAGCTTGCCGAATGTCAGCTTTTCCAACTGGACAAAAACAAACATTTTCGCTATTTCTTTTAATTTTTATTTGTTGGAGCCGCTAAGGGCACATTTAATAAGAGGGTGAGGCTGACAGCTGTGGGACTGCTCCTCCTTTCTGGGCTAATTTGGAATGAAGTGACCCCAAAAATGGCATGTGTGTGAGTGGACCTCTGACTGTTGGAAACCCCAAGTACCACTGAGGTAAGCTTTCCCAGAGAAAGAAATGGTAGTGGGCCGAGTCCGTGTTTGATTTTTTTAAAAAATTAAGGCAAAGGTGATATTACTTAGAAGATGTGGCTAGTTTCAGAGCTTCATTTCGGAGGATGGTCTGATTTTCCTTTTGAGAACCGGAGAATCCCCTGTAAAGTATATTAGGGCATCTGGACAATCTTGAAGAGAAAACGAGTACTGACTGTCCTTTGCTTTTCCTTTGGGAATATGTGATTTCGGGAGGAGTCACAAAATGAACCAGATTTCTCAGCAATTTGGGGGATAAGTAGTCCACTTGAGAATCTGACACTAAGCCTCACTTTCTCACTAGCCACACAGTTGAATTTAGGTTAACTGGGGCCCAAGCTTCAGTTTTACCTTTAGTAAAATGGATGATTGTTCTTTGACTCTCTGTGTAAAATCTACATTTTAATTGCTACTAGAAAATTTTCACTTTACCTCAGAATAGTCTGGAAGCAAAATGGGAGGTAAGTTGGCGCAAACGGATTTCTGGCCCCATCCTGCCTTGGAGTGAACAATGTAAGTTATGCAGGAACTTCTATGTGTCCCCACCAAATGAACCCAGAGCCTCACACATGCTAGACAAGCACCCTAGCACTGATCTACATCCAAGGCCCACTTCTGAGTCAGTCTAACCTTGGGAACTTAACGTACTGTTTTTTGCCCACTCAAACATAGATCCTTGGGGAGCCTCACAGTGAAGCAGACCTATTGTGTTGGAGTGGTAATTTTTTGATTTTTTTTGTGTTTTTGAGACAGATAGTTTAGGCTGGCCCTGATATCACTATGTAGCCCAGGTTGGCCTCGAACTTACAGTGACCTCCTGCCTAATGCTCCCGAGTGCTGGGATTACAGGCATGGGCCACTATACCCAGCTAAGGAGTGGCAATTTTGTTTTTCTTTTTGGTACTGGGGATCGAACTCAGGTCCTTGCGCTTGCAAGGCAGGCGGTGAAACCACTGAGCTAAATCCCTGGCTAGGAGTGGCAGGTTTTGAAGCAAATGGTCCTTGAAATATTTATTATGCCTGAAAAATGTTTCTTAATTTTGTAGACATGGATTTAGGTGCTATTACAAACCACTCCACATTACATGCCAAGCCCGATGGACTTGTTCTTCAATATGGGACTGCTGGATTTCGAACAAATGCAGAACATCTTGATCATATCATGTACCGCATGGGATTATTAGCGGTCCTGAGGTCAAAACAGACAAAAGCCACCATAGGAGTCATGGTCACGGCATCACACAATCCTGAGGTAATGCATGCAGTGCCCTAATAAAGCAGCCATTGTTTGCAGGGCTAAATCCTAGTGCCTGTATAGTTTGAGCCAAAGTACAAATTCTAATTCCAGGAACGTGCTTTATTTATGTGTGCTTTTGGCTTCCAAACAACTCTTTCTTAGTAGCTCAAGACTCAGTAGAGGGTGTGGAGAGAATGAAATGGGACTTTTTTTTGGAGCATATCCATGTTAGAGAAGTAATACAATGTCCTTCCAATTTGCAGTAGTTGAATTGAGGACAGTATTTATAGTTAAAAAGTATAACTTAAAACTGTTATAAGTGTAACTGTTAACTTAGGAGTGATTACACAGATGGAGATAGGTGGGAGAAAGGCAAACCTTTGAAAAGATGTATTTTGGAATATTTGAGACTTTTGAAAATAGCTACACAATGATTTCCTGTTCTGAATCCAACAACTGAGTTTGGGGATCTAAAATTGGGTTTTGGCAGAATATTGATGAGGTTCTAGTCTTTAGAACAATTAAGACTTTAATCAGTGTTCCTTTTGACATAGTTATTTTTATTTTTCAGCTGTAGATATAATAAATACAAATGATATATATTGAAGTTGTAAAATGTCATGTTTTGATATAGTTATATATTATGAAATGATTACCATAAACAAGCTAATTAACATTATCCATACCTCACGGTTACCTTTTTTGTAGTGAGAAAACTTAAGATACACTTTTAACAAATTTGAGGTATACAGAACATTACTATTAAATGTAGTCCTTAAAATATACTGCATTTCCAGAACTTTGTAATAACTGTAAATTAATACTCCTTAAACCAACGTCTCTGTTTCCTCTACATCTTCTTAGAATCATTTTACTGTTTCTATGAATTCAGTCATTTATATCCCACATAATAAGTGATCTTGTGGCATCTTTCTATATCTGGCTTGTTTCATTTAGTATGATGTTCTCAGGTTTGGCTATGTTGTTGCAAATAACAGGATTTTCTTTTTCTTTTTTTCGTTAAGGCTGAATTCTGTGTATTTCTGTGTGCATATATCGCACTTTCTCACTTTCTTCAGACTTTCATATGTCAGTAGATAGTTGTTTCTCTATCTTGGCTTTTTTTTTTTTTGGAGTGCTGGGGATTGAATTTGGCCTCACACATGATAGCATGCTAGGCTCAGACTTTACCACTGAGCTGCATCCCCAGGCCTTTTTGGGTCTCACCAAGTTTCCTGTTCTTGAACTTTCAATCTTCCTGCCTTGACCTCCTGAGGATCTGGAATTACCTGTATATGCCACTGTGCCAAATTTAGCTACTGTTTTGACATAATTTAATTTTTATTTTCTCTTGCCTGTAGTCCGCTAATACATGGTTTGAATAATATGCCTCTCTACTAAGGCATGGGATTTTTGTCTTTGTAGCTAAATCACCAGGAAGTATAAGCTATGTTGATCTCAATTATTGGTGGTAACCTCTTCCCTCAAAATGAGGATATTGCTCTTCTGACCTCAAAATGTGTGATCACCATATGCGTCTAAACAAATCATTGTAATTTATTGATGACATGTAGGAAGAGCCTCACATTTATACCCGGTTCCAGAAGCATTTCTCAGAATAGTTCTGAGCTATTTCATTTGATACCACTCTGAACTATAACCTTTTTAAAATAGGAATTTCAGCAGATCAGCACCTGAAGTCAGCTTCTGGTGGCTGTGCTGGCCAGCCTGCTGTGGGAATCAGAGTCACAGTAAAAAGAAAGTCTAGTGTCCCTTGCCTCTTTGTGCTCTAGTTTGTTACCTGATAAGAGACACAGATGACAGCTTTGAGAAAAAACCTGCGTAGCATTGCAGTTGTTAGGTTTAAGATGGAGTTGGTGTTTCAATATTGGCACTGATATTTAATAACTGTATGATCGTAAGCACATGTCCTAATCTCTATGAACCTGTTGTTTTCTAAGCTGCAATAAGAATAGATTATTAATTACATCGATAAGTATGTCATGAGGAGGAAGGCAGGTATGGACTAAAACACCTGCCAGCACCATTCTTAGATGGTAATCACTGATGCTGCTCGGTTGTTCCTGTTGTGTTTTGGGGAAAAAAAAAAGCAGCAAGAATGCTTTCTTAGCTCACCCTCATGGATGTGTACAGATGACATATTGTTTATTTTGCTTTGAAGGAAGACAATGGTGTAAAATTGGTTGATCCTTTGGGTGAAATGTTGGCACCGTCCTGGGAGGAGCATGCTACGCATCTGGCAAATGCAGAGGAGCAAGATCTGCAGAGAGTGCTTGTTGACATCAGTGAGATTGAAGCTGTGGATCTGCAGCAAGATGCCTTTGTGGTGATTGGTAGAGACACCAGGTTAGTTTCTGCAGAGGCAGTGTTACTGCAACGGAAGTGATTGCATTGGTTTTAACACCCAAGACATGGAAAGAAGGAAGGAAAGTGGAGCTGCTCTTGAGTGGCATCTCCCCCAAACTGGCCTGTATAGTAAGGCAGAGGGACTGATGTACAACTGCAGTTTTGGAGTCTAATTCTGGTTTTAACTCCACACCTCTCCCTTTTGAACAGTTTGAACAGATTATTATTTTGGAGCTTCTGTTTCCTCAGCTATAAACTGTTGCTCATAAGGCCTATTACAGTGTTCTTGTGAGAATTGAATAATACATGCAAAATACCTCCTGGCGGAGA